AGGAAGGAATACTTCCCTTTCAATTTCATTGAAGATTTTGACGAGTGTCGGCATTATGTCTTCCTTGTATTTCTTGTACAGTTCTGCAGTGAATCCGTCTGGGCCTGGGCTCTTCTTTGTAGGTAAGGACTTAATTACATTTTCAATTTCATTCATAGAGATTGGGTTATTCAGCAGTTTTACATCCTCTTGATCTAGGTTTGGTACTTCATATGTTTCTAGGAATCTGTCTATTTCTTCTGTGTTATCAAACATTTGAGAGTAGAGGTTTTCGAAATAGGTGTTGATGATCTTCTGTATTTCTATACAGTCTGCAGTGAATTCACCTTTTTTATTTCTTATTGCATGAATTTGAGCTTTTTTTTAATAAGGTTGGCTAGGAGCTTATCAATTTTATTTATTCTTTCAAAGCACCAACTCTTTGATTCATTGATTCTTTGGATTGTTTTCTTAGTCTCGATTGTGTCGATTTCTGCTCTGATTTTTATAATTTCCTCTCTTCTTTTGGCTTTGGGCTTAACTTCCTCTTTTTTTTTCTAGCTGTTTGAAGTGTAACATCAGGTTATTTATTTGTATTCGTTCTGTTTTCCTGATGTGGGAACTCAGTGCAGTAAATTTTCCTCTGAGGACTGCTTTCATTGCATCCCAAAGATTCCAGTAAGTTGTATCTGTATTTTTATTTTCTTGTAGGTATTGTTTAATTTCTTCTTTAATTTCCCCCTGTGACCCACTGATTACTCATGAGTGTGTTTCTCAGTTTCCATGTGTTTGTGGGATTTTTGCAGTATCTTTTATCATTAATTTCTAATTTTAGAGCGCTATGATCCGATAACATGCAAGGGATGATTTCAACTCTTTTGCATTTATTTAAATATGTTCTTTGAGCTAATATATGATCTATTTTAGAGAATGACCTATGTACTGCTGAAAAGAATGTGTATTCTGATGTTGTTGGATGGAACATTCTGTATACGTCTATCAACTCCATTTGTTCACAGGTGTGATTCAGTTCTGTTATTTCTTTGCTGATTTTCTGTCTGATTGATCTGTCCCTTGGTGTCAATGGTGTGTTAATGTCTCCTGTTACTATTGTGTTACTGATAATTTGATTTTTCATTACTGTTAATATTTGTTTCATATAACTGGGTGCTCTGGAATTTGGTGCATATATATTTAAGATAGTTATCTCTTCCTCTTGGAGTTTTCCCCTAATGAGTATTTGGTGACCTTCTTTGCCTCTTCTGATCATTGTTGGTTTAAAGTTCACATTGTCTGCAAACAGAATGGCTACTCCTGCTTTTTTTTTTTTTATTCCTGTTGCATGAAGTATTGTTTTCCATCCTTTGAATTTCAATCTGTATGTATCCTTCTGGGTTAGATGGATTTCCTGTAAACAGCAAATGTTTGGATTTTGTTTCTTGATCCATTCATTCTGCCAGTCTGTTTCTTTTAATTGGTGCATTGAGCCATTTAAATTAATGGTTATAACTGTTATATATTGGGTTATTGTTGACATGTTATCTTTCTGCTGTTGCATTTTTATCCTTCTGTTCTGTTTAATTATCTGCTTTGCTCAGTGGTTTTTTCCTTTGTGTACCTAAACTGTCTTTCAATATTTTTTGCAGGGTTGGCTTGGTGATCATTAAGTTCTTCAGCTGTTCTTTGTCATGGAAGTATCTTATTTCACCATCAATTTTGAATGATAGTTTTGCAGGGTACATCAGTCTAGGTTGGAAATCATTTTGCTTTAGGATCTGGAATACTTCGCTCCATGCTCTTCTTGACTTTATTGTTTGTGCTGAGAAGTCTGCTGTGATTCTGATAGGTTTTCCTTTATAATGATCTGTCTTTTCTCTCTGACAGCTTTTAATAATCTATTCTTATGTTGGATTTCTGTGATGGTGATTATTATATATCTGGGTGTAGTTTTATTTTGGTTATGACTATTTGGAGTTCTATATGCTTCACTGAACCTGATGTTGGTTTCTGATCTCATGCTTGGGAAATTTTCAGCTATTACTTCTCTAAATATCCTTTTGACGTCCTTTATGTTGTCACCTTCTTTTTCTTTAATCCATATCAATGTTATGTTGTTCTGCTTTGCATCATCTTGCAGTTGTTGAATTGTTATTTCCTGATTCCTTGTTATTTATAAAAGATCTTTCCTGTTCACTAGCTTCAATCTTGTCTTCAGGGTCTGAAATTCTATCTTCACTTTCATTGAGGTGGTTTTTACAGCTTTCAGTGGAGTTTTTGATTTCCTTTACATCTCTGTGCACCTGCTTTATGTATTCTGTTTTTTTTCCTATATTGCTCATCTAGGCATTCTATCTTTTTGTTTAGTTCCTCCAATTTTTAACTGTGTTTTCTTTAGATATGTTCAGCATCTCTTTCACTTCTTTTATCATTTTTTCTTTTACCTGGGAGATTATTTCTAGTTTGAATTCCTTTAAAGCTTCCTGGAGTTGCTTGTTTATTTCAGTTGCTGTTATGTCCGATATTTGAGGTGTATGGAATATACACCTCTTCTATATATCTCACTCCTAGGGTTTCTTAAGATGGGCTGGAGGTTTGAGGTTGTAATTTGGTCTTTCGTTTTGTCATTTTGCTGTATTTCTGTGTTTCAAGTGTTATTCAAAAGCTTCCTCAGGGTCTGTTGGAAATCCACTTCTACGTTCACAGCTCCTGGGACTCTGGCACCCAGTTCCCCCAGGCCCCGGGCCTCTGGAACCTGTGGCGCTCACCTGCTTGCTTAGAACTCTGCAGTCCCAAACAAGCTGGGCTCCGGGGAAAGTGGACACCCACCTGCTTGCTTAGAACTCCACAGTTCCCCAAGCACAGCCTTAACAGGGAGGCGGATGCAGGCACCTCAGACCCACCTAGCTGTTACACTGTATCCAGAAGCCTCAAGAGTCCTGAACAAGCTGGGCTCAGGAGAGAGTGTGCGGGGCACTTACCCCAGGATGCTGGGCCTCTGGATCTGGTGATGCTCGCCTGCTTGGTTAGAAATCCAGTTCTTCAGACACATGGAGAGGCGGATGCTGGCACCCAGAACCCCTAGCTGTTCCACTGCACCCAGGTGGTGCGAGAGTCCCAAACAGCAGCTTTGTTGTTGTTATGAAAGATGATTCTGATTCATGTGTGCAACGTTCTGACATTTTAATTATTCAGCAAGATCAAGTTAAACCCAAAAAGAGATGATGAGGATTATCTTTCTATTAACATTGCATGAAGAGGGGCTTTGGAGTGAAATACTTAGCTTTTGTTTTTGTTTTTATTGATATGGGTCAGGGAGTATTTGATATCTTTTTTAATCAAGTGTGATACTTTTTATTACTCTTTGTTTTTAATAATGTTGTAAGGTTGGTTTTGTTTTATTTGCTATTGACATGGTCACTCTAGCATTTGGTGTGTTCCCATCTTAGCCTGGTCTATTTATCTTTTCTTCATCAATTAATGTTAGAGATGATTTCTTCCTTCCTTTTCTCCCTCTCTGCCTCTTCTCTCTCTCTCTCTCTCTCTCTCTCTCTCTCTCTCTCTCTCTCATTCTCTCTCTCTCTCTCATTCTCTCTCTCTCTCTCTCAATCTCTCTCTCTCTCTCTCTCTCTCTCTCTCTCTCTCTCTCTCTCTGGCAGACCTTGTATATTAACCTAATCTGATTGACGTTACTTTGGACATTTCATTGCATTCAAGTTAGAATTTTTCTGCTCTCAATTTTATATTTATCAATCACATGCATTTTTACTGGAGTGCAATTTATATGCAGTAAAGCATATAATCCCTGAGTATGATGGTCAGATCAAAACACACAGAACATTTGCATTACTGCAGAAAAGATTTTCCTGCTCTATCCAATGAACAATCCCTTCCCTGAGGCAGCCATTATTCTGAATTATAGTGCCATAAATCAGTTTTATCTGTTGTAATTTTGACATAAAAACATATTGCACAGTATCCAAATTCTGTGCGTTTCTTTTTTTTTTTTTTTGCAAAAAAAAGTCCATATTATGGTGTTTAAAAATGCTGTCACAGAAAAGGAAATCCTGGGCAATAAAGGAAAATCAGCAGACATCAAATCCAGGACTTGAAATGATACTACAAAGCTGGTTTGATAAAATCAGTATGGTACTGGAAAAAAAAAAAAAACAAGGGGATTTCCTTCTACCATCTCTTTGAAGGAAAATGTTTTTATTACTGTTTTGCTCTATTCTTATTAATGGTACTGCTCTATTTAATATTCTGTTTTGATAAATTCTATAATGGTCTGTATTTCATTTCATTTTGATATACATGATTGAAAGAACAATCAGACACGACTACAAAGACACTCTGTCACCTTATCTTTGACCCAAGAGTAAAACATATTCTCTGGTAGAAAGATAGCCTCTGTAATAAATGGTGCTCAAAAATTAGCTTTCTACGTGCAAAAGACTAAAACTAGACTCATGTCTATCACCATGCACTAAACTAAAGTAAAAATGGATCAAAGATCTAAATATTAAAACAGAAACACTAAGTCTACTGGAAGAGAAAGTAGGTAGAAATTTCGAACATAGAGGGATAGGCAGAGAGTTCATGAACAAAACCCAAACTGCATGTGAAATATGTCACAGAATTAACAATTGGGATCTAACCTTATTAAAAAGTTTTTGCACATAAAAAGAAATTACTGCTAGAGTGAAAAGAAAACCCACAGAGTGGGAAAAATTTTAGTCAATTGTCTCTCAGAAAAGGACTTCTATGCAGAACACATAAAGATTTGAACAAAATCAGGCCCTCCAAATTCAAAGACTCAGTCAAAAAAATGGGCACCTGAGATGAATACATATGTACCAGATGAAGAAATACAAACGGCAGATAAATATACAAAATAGTGTTCAATAACATTGGTAATCTGAGAAATGAAAATTGAAATAACACTGAGATTCAGTCTCACCCCAGATAGAATGGCTATCATCAAGAAATCAACCAATAACAAATGATGGAAGGGTTTTGCACTGTTCTTTTTTAAAATTTTATTTTGAAAGTAGTAAAATACAACAGAACAAGACAGAAGAAAGTCAACTAAGATCGTATAGTGAAATTGGTACAGAACTTCACAGCAGGTTACTGGGATAACAGTAATAGGTATCACAATATATTTCGTTATCTTTACAATAGTTATTCTTTCAATCACGTATATCAAAATGAAATGAAATACAGACTATTATAGAATTTATCAAAACAGAATATTAAATAGAGCAGTACCATTAATCAGAATAGAGCAAAACAGTAATAAAAATATTTGCCTTCAAAGAGATGGTAGAAGGAAATCCCCCTTATTTGCTATGGTCAACCTCTCAGGAGATGCTCAGATCTCTGGTTCCCATTTGCTAACAGGGGGGACAGGAGAAGAGGGATGTTTGACTCTAGGGTGTGCACCAGTAGGTTTACAATTGCTTAGCAGGGAGGCAGGCTGGTTGCTTGGTTCCCCAGCTCTGTAAGTTCTAACATGGTGTGGATCTCAGGGGACACTGGTGATTCTCTCCCTGGAAGGGCCACAGCAGGCCACACCACCGCCGCTTACCAGGAAGGGAAGCTGCTTTTTTGGTTTCCCAGGGTCCTAGGTTTCAACATGATGTGCATCTCAGGAGCCGCTGATGGTTCTCCCCCTGGAAGGGCCACAGTCTGCCACACTGCAGCCACTTACCAGGGAGGGGAGCTGCTTGCTTGGTTTCCCAGGGTCCTAAGTTCCAACATGGCATGGATCTCAGAAGCCGCTGGTGGTTCTCCCCCTGGAAGGGCTGCACTCTTGACTTTGCACTGTTAATGGGAGCATAGATTGGTAAAGCCACCATGGAAATCAGTGTGGTGATTTCTCAGAATATTAGAATGAGAGGTTCCATTTGACCCAACTATTCCTCTTCTGGGTATCTTCCAGAAGAATTGAAAACATCATAACACAGCAATATATGTGCATCCATGTTCATAATAGCACAATTTGTAATAGCCAGAAATTTCAAACAACCCAAATGCCCATCAACAGAGGAATGGATAAAAAAGATGTGGGAGAAATATATATATATACACACACAAATATATAAAACTCGGCTACAAAGAAGGATAAATTCAGGGCTTTTACAGGTAAATGGATGTAATTTGACATGATACGTGTAAGTGAAATAAATCAAACTCACATAAGTAAACACTGTATTATCTCCTGGTATAATAAACTGAAAGAGAAAATAATACTCAAAATCTATAATACATACTGTAGAAGGAAAAGAAATTGCTCAAGAGGAAAGGATAACAGGGATGGAGGAAGGAAAAAAGAAGGAATGTAAAGGAAAAGAAAAAGAGCCATATATATATATGCTAAGATAATTATAGTACTAATTACTTTTAGTTCATTGAAAAGAGTAGTTTGTGCTTATATATTTTGATCATTTTTTTCTTGCCTATATCTTGTAATCTGAGCAACTACATGGAAGATATTAATACGCAATACATTAACCATTATTAATTTCCTATTACTTGTTTTGAAATTGTGTATCATTGTTTCTATTGCTTTTTCTCTTGAAAATAAAAAACAAAGATGCCACATGTATTGTTCTTGTGTTTCTCTTAAGGAGTTCTCAATAAGGAGTATTTTTATTGTAGGACCATCTGAAAGTTTCTTTATTCATTGTCTAAAGTGATGGGCACTTCAATTACTTTTATTTTGACCTATTATGCATTAAGTTTCTCTCCCTCTGTGTTGTGGTCAACACTTTATGTAGAGAAATGTATTCATTTCCTTGTGGTACACTCTCAGGTGTAGAATTCCTGTATCATTTAGTGGCCCTAGTTTGAATGTGCCAAAGACTTTCAAATAATTTTCTAACATATATCATTTTACATTTCCACTAGCAAAATGTAAGAATTCCATTTCACTCACGGTTGTTGCCAATAACATTAATCCTGAGCTTTCCAGTTTAGCTATTCCTGTACGTATGTTCTGGTCTCTCATTGTGAGTATTAACTTATATTTCTGTAATGAGTGCAGTTAAACATCTTATCCTACATAACCTGAAATGTGGATATTTTCTTCTATGAACAGCTTAATAAAAACATTTTCCCACTTAAAAATTCCATCTAAAAACCTCCTGTTTCTTCACTGATTTATTAATTTGTTATAAATAGCAAGTAAAGGTCTTTTGTTAGACACATGAACTGTGTTCCTTTCCTCAAAGTGTGAGAATTTTTACTTTCTTAATTATATCTTCTTGAAGGAGATGTTTTTCAAGGTAGTCTCGTTTGCTATTATTATTATCATCAGATAATCAGTAAGAAATGCAATTTTCATCCTGCCCGTAGACATTTGATGACACTCGTTATCTTTCTTTGCTAGTGTATGGTCTCCTTTTTAACTCAGTTTTTTATAAAAGAGGACATGTGATTATTACTAATACTAATGTCCACAGCATACATTCCTGTATCCTTCCATAAGCTTTACAACATTAGCACTTGCATTTTGGTTTTTCTTTTAGCCAAAATTAATTCTTAAGCATAAATATTAGAAATTTTTCCCTGTTGGGGCACAATTGTTGAACTGATCTTTCAATCTTCATTGAAAAAACATCAAGTAATCATCTGTAACTACTTTTATATCTGTAGTACCTGTTCTGTGGCTTTGATGTATTGTTAGGTCAGTACCATCCTATCTTTATCACTGTAGCTTCTTATGAAGTCCTGAAATCACATTATCTAAATGCTGCAAATTTATTCTTCATCATTATTATTGTCTTGATTGAATTATTTCCTTTGCACTTTAGTATAAAGTTCTATTTGTCCATTTTACAAAACTGATGGTGTTTACACTGGGATTGAATTCAATCCATATAGCAATTGTGAGAAAAGCATTGTCTTGGTTACTTTTGTCTCAAGAATATTTTGCTGAGGCAAAATATTCAGCACCCAAAATTAACGAAGGAAAGATTTATTTAGCTCAGTTTGTGGAGTTTTCAGCTGGCTCCAAGGCAAGTGGTAAAGGGCTACAGTTGATGGCAGCAGAAAATAGCACAAACCACAAGAGCAAAAGGGGAGAAGCATGGAGAGAAGATTGTTTTGTTCCTTATATTGTATGTACACCACACTCACTTGGGTCTAGCATGCACATCCATAATCCCAGCATTGGACTGTGAGTCAATCACAAACTTTAGAAGCCCATTCCCATGACTACATGAGGCTTTGGGGGGACCTCTAGACATAAACCATAAGAAATATAATGATGAAATTCTGAATACTACCATTTCTCCCCATTCATCTTAGCCTTTGCTGATTATTCCTTTATCTATCTTATGATTTCTGGAGCAGGAATCCTGCCATCTTCCATTATTTTTGATCCTTTATATTTTCTGATGTCATTATGGATAGTATTCATTTTTTCTCTATATACATTCAAGAGCTATTGGTGTTCATCTTTCATTTACCAATTCTGCTATAACAAATTAGGTTGACAGGTAATCTGAGGGCACTGAATAAGAAAATTTTACGTTAGGATAAGAATGAAAAGAAAAAAAGTTAAGTTTTGATCTTTTCCTTTAGATCTTTTATGGAAAGGTTTTAAATTCTAATTATTTGAATTCAATATGATATGTATATTTGTGTGCAAAACTAAAACTTCTAAAGCATTTCTACAAACTAAAATGGTGATAAATTGTGAAATTATAGTCTTTTATTAATTATTGCTCACTTTATAATTTCAAGCGGCAATCACTAGAATGTTGTGTAGCTAAATTCAAGTTAGCAAAAGGGCACCTGCAGTCTATCATATGGACTTTGTGAATGTATCCTTCCTAGTGAGGTTGATAGAAAAGTCTCTCACTTTATTCATGATAGTAATGTTTTGCAATAATCTTTTTTATTGAGCGAGTGAGATGTCTTAAAATTTCTAAGGCACATCTGTTTTGCTTTCTATTCCCTTACATTTTCTGGGAATATTTCTGGGAATTACATTTGCATGATGCGCAAATATTTTGAGACCATGCTTTAAAAATGCAAACCTCCACTCAGTCATACCAGTGGATTAATTCTCCAAGAAGTAAATTCTATCTTGCAGTCATATTATTGTGAGCTAAACCAGAAAAGAAATTTTTATACCAAGTTTCTCCAAATGTTTCATCACATTTGCAAAAACAATTATTTTCCATGAAATTATGGATTTCCCTGGTGGAACCTCCACATCCACGCCCCAACACATTGCTGACGACTGATCTTATTATTCTCTGGATCACTGGGGATTACATCCATCAGAATCTTCCCCTCTGCATGCAACTCGTGTGCACAGAAACAATTAATCTCTCTGTGGTTGTTCCAGTTAAAGTCACGCCATCAGCAAAACCATACAAAATGCTTTCTTTTCTTCCAACTAACATAGATTTCCATCCTTCACCCCTTAATACTCAGGGAGTTACACATGTAAATTATATCTCCTTCTTTTATCATCTGATCTGATACGACTTTAGGTCCGATTGCTGGGCCAGAACGGGTCTCCTTAGCATGATGAATGTCTTTCATTTCAAACAATATTTTTCAGGCTCTTTGATGTTTTTATTAATACAAAAGTTTGCAATACATAGTGAGCACACTAATCACTGGAAAGTGATACGTAAACATACCATATCTCAAACTCTTTCCCTTGCTTTATCCTTCGTTCCCACCTGCCCCATCTCCAGATCCCAGTATATTGTCCACAAAGTCTACAGTCCTTTTCATTGTCACTTCTCTTTTATCTTGTTCTTTAAATTATTGACACATGGGCCTTCTTACGTGACAGAAACCGTGTGATAGTTCATCCTGTGTCTAATTTACTTCACTTAGCATTATGGTATCAAGGTGACTTCATTATGCTACAAATGACTCAGAGTTATCCTTCTTTATGGTCCATCAGTATTGCATTGCATATTGACACCACATTTTCTTTATCTGTCCATTGGTTGATGGCCACATAGGCTGCTTCTGAGATTTAGCTATTGTGAGTTTTGAGGCTATAAATATGGGCATCTTCTTGTTTTCTTCTTGTATTCTTCCTTGTGAGATTCATTACTGTTGACAACAGTTTCCTTTCTAGAAGATTCTCTCTGCATGTTTTGGTATACACTCATCAAGGATAACAGAGACAGAACCTTAATCTCTCCAGCGCTGGGTTGTCTCAAGACTGATAACCATCTCGTTGTCCACCATCTTGGATAATTTTAATCATTAGAACATCAGCTCTACAGGGTAGTATGATATTAACCTGGACTTTACAATTTAACTTGAAATTCAGACCCTGAGGAATTAATCCACACATTCATTCAAATATTCATTGAAACCCCACCTTCACTGAAAAGCACATGACACATGGTACTTTATGATGTCTTTTTTTTTTGGCAATCCTACTTGGTAAAGGAAAAATACTATATTGAAAGGCACCCATTTGCTGGAGACCAAGAGATAAATCAATTTTGGGTCACCTGGATAGAACTGGAAATCATGCAAAGTGAAATAAGCCAAGTGTGAAAGAAAAGCAACATATAATCTTACTTATGTGTGGAGTCTGAAAAAGTTGATCTCCTGTAAAACCAAGAATAATGATTCCTACTGCAGGCTGGAGAAAGTAAGAAGAAATGGGAAAAAACTGATTAATGAAGACCAAATTATGGTTAGATGAGAGCATAATTTTCTGGCTTGCTATTGTACAGCTCAGTAACCATCCTAACAATTATATCTATGTACATTTCAAACAGTGAAGAAGAAGTAATCTGGACATCTTCACCATAAAAACAAGACAAATCGTTAGG